TATCTATCTATCTATCTATCTATCTATCTATCTATCTATCTATCTATCTATCTATCTATCTACATGACCTTGCTTCTATCCCTCTGTTAATGCAGCCTAAGTCTGTGTTATTCATCTAGTAAGTCAATATTTCTGTGTTTTTAGTTTAATGCAATTGCTCAGTTTGTGTATCCAAACATCATCCACGCTGCACGGGTGTTCTTGTAAGTGGGGAGGTTGCCATGTAATATCTTAGCGGCAGAAACCAGCCATAGGGCAAAAGACAAAATAAATAAATAAAATAAAATGGCCTTTAGACATTCCATGAGGTTCCTTACCGCATCTCTTCCTTCTTTCATCTTTTGAAGTGTTTACATTTAGTGGAGAATGGGAGGCAGCCGCCGTCTTGCAGGAAAACAAGAAAAGTAGAAATAATGGAAGGAATCTTTCTGGAGTTCATGGCCTCTTTTCTGTCCAGATAGAAACAAAGACCAATTTTTGTTTCTCTCCATTTTGCAAGCCGGCACCTCAGTCGACTTCTGTTCAATAAATTTTGAGCATCATTTCAAAGTATCTCCAAGTTTCTTTGGTGACTTCAGCAACGTATTCACGTACAGGCAGTCTATTGTGGTTCGCCGGCAGCCGGTGCAGATAGCAACGGAATCAGACAGTGGGGGAGAATGGGGACCAGTCAGGGAGCCTGGAGGGGACTTGGATGAGGGTCCTGCATCCAATGCAGAGATGGGGCCAGGACCATTGGGGAGTCTGTAGTCTTACTCCGGAGCCTCCGGAGTCTGGCAGCAGCGAGGCAGAGGAACAAAGGGAGCCTGTTCCCAGTGCGCATGTGCGCAGAGCTGCTAGAAGGCAAGAGCAGCTGAGACAAAAGGCGCGACTCGGGCTTAAGGCTGGGAGGTGATTGCCCCTCCCTTAAGGGATAAAGGAAGTGCAAAGATAGAGAAACTTTTGCAGGAAGCAAAGTTGTTCGCTCTGTTCAGATTCAACCTTGAAGCTCTGTGTGGACTTTGTACTTCGTTTGGCTTTTTACAGTTAATTTGGCACTTTAGTTGTCGGCAGAAATTCAAAGGAGAGAAAGGTGTGTGCTTATCTCGAGGAACTATTTGGGACTCATTACCGGCTGGGAATGAATGTAATTCCCAGCTGTTGAAATAAAACAAGAGTTATTTTAACTGTGTGTGTGCTTAATTACGGTCTCAGGAAGCCTTGGTCAGAACACAGTGCTGGACCTACCGCCATCCATTAAGTGACCATTCAAAGTTTTCAACGGCGCTGAAAATAAAGTGAGCTACGGCCAGTCCTCGCCCTTATGACCATTGTCGCATTCCCCATCATCATATGATCAAAGTTCGGATGATTGACAACCAGCAATATTTATGATGGTGGCAGGGTCCTGGAATTATGTGATGGCCCCTTGAGGCCTTCCCAGCCATCTTCCAACAAGCAAAATCAATAGGGGAAGCCAAATTCACTTAATGACCACACAATTTGCTTAACAACCATGGCTAAAAAAATAGGAAAATTGGGGATGGCTTATTTATTTATTTGTTCATTTGTTTATTTATCAAACTTCTATGCCACCCTTCTCGCCGAAGGCAACTCTTACCTTTACAACTGTCTTGCTTAGCAATGGACTTTTTGGTCCCAATTGTCGTAAGTCGAGGACTACCTGTGGTTTCTGGGAAGTGGAAATATAGAGCCCTATTAAGACTGGGGTATGCTTTGGTGCATATTTCTGCCGATATTTGCATAGGGTGTTTCCATTTTTCCTCCCCAAATGCACACAGATTATAATAGTGCCCTTTAATAGAATAGAATTGAAAGGGACATTGGAGGTCTTCTAGTCCAACCCCCTGTTCAAGCAAGAGACCATATACCACTCCAGACAAATGGTTGTCTAATCCAGATTTACAGATAGAGTTGGAAGGGACCCTGTAGGTCATCTAGTCCAACCGCCCGCCCAAGCGGGAGACCCTACACCATTTCTGACAGATGGTAGTCCAATCTCTTCTTGGAAGTCTCAAGTGATGAAGCTCCCACAACTTCTGAGGGCAAAGCTGTTCCATTGGTTGATTGTTCTCACTGTCAGAAAGTTTCTCCTTATTTCCAGGTTGAATCTCTCTCCTTGTTCAGTTTCCATCCTTTGTTCCTTGTCTGGCCTCCAGGTGCTTTAGAAAATAGCTTGACCCCTTTCTCCCTGGAAGACCGCTACCATGTCTCCCCTGGTCCTTCTCTTCCCTAGACCAGCCATGCCCAGTTCCTGCAACCGTTCGTTGTATGTTTTAGCCTCCAGTCCCCTCATCATCCTGGTTGCTCTTCTCTGCACTTTTTCTAGAGTCTCGTCATCTTTTTTATAGTGTGGTGACCAAAACTGGATGCAGTACTCTAGGTGTGGTCTTACTAAGGCTTTATAGAGTGGTATTAGTACCTCCCTTGATCTTTATTGCATCCCTCTGTTAATGCAGCTTAGGATTGCATTATGTTTTTTGGCGGCAGCTGCACGCTGCTTGCTCCTTCTTAAAAACCTCCGGCAATGAAGCACCCACAATTTCTGGTGGCAAGCAGTTCCACTGGTTAATTGTCCTCGTTGTCAGGAAGTTTCTCCTTAGTTCCAGGTTCCTACTCGCCTTGCTTAGTTTCCATCCATTGCTTCTTGTCCTGCCTTTGGGGGTTTTGGAAAGTAAGTGAACCCACTTCTTCTTTGGGGCAGCCCCTCAAATATTGGAAGACTGCTACCATGTCACCCCTTCTTTCCGTTAAACTAGACATGCCCAATTCCTGCAACCATTCTTCATATCTTTTGGTCCACTGTCTTTTACAACATTTGTATTTTATATTGTATCATAATTTTCTACAACCATTTTGATGTGCCTGTTTTACAACTGGCAAGCCTCAGCGCTTAGAATCAGGTAAACTCCAAAGTTCTGTTTCATTTTTTTTCAATTATTATTATTAAACATAAAAATTCAGTGTCTACATAAACAATGTGTTGTCTGGGTACTGTTAATTTTGAGAAATAGCAATAATAATAATAATAACAATAATTTTCATAACATTAATAATAATCACACACTAATAATAGTATTTGCTTATTCATTTTAGTGAACTTTCCTTATGTAATTAATCATTCTCATGTTTTTAAATTTCTAACTTCTGTTTCTGCTAGTTAGCCACTGATAAAACAAATCCCATGTTAAAAGTATTCAGTTTCTTCCTTCTCCTCAATTCTGAGTATTAATCTATCAATTTCTGCACATCCTAATATTTTTTTTAATTACATTTTCATTTGTAGGGATCTCTTCATTTTTCCACTGTTGTGCAAACATAATTCTAGCTGCTGTTAACACGTGTAAAATTAAATATGTATTTCCTTTCTTGTATTTTTGTGGTAGGATACCCAACAAAAATATTTCTGATTTTAGATCTGTGTGTTTGCTTTACCATTTTTTTTTCTAACCATGTATGTATTTTTGTCCAATATTTTTTTTGCCTTTGGGCATCTCCACCATACGTGATAGATAATATGAACCTGGTATCTGATTACATTTCCAACATTTAGCAGACATGTCTCCTTAAACATCTTGGCCAGTCTTGCTGGTCAAAGTTCTGTTTCAGTTTGGCTCAGAAATGCAAAGTGTGAAACGATTTTGCGGTTCTGTATGAGGCAGCCACAATCGCGTCTCCGTTTTCTGTTTCACGGATTCAGGCTGTGCAAAGTAAAAGTTCCTTTGTCTGCGGCCCCAGGTGGTGCTCCCTTTATGGTAGCATATTCCGAGTGCTCTTTCAAATCGATTTTTCTAGGAATCTGTAATCCGCTTGGGTCTTTGAGGTCAGCGTAGACAATCTCTTTATCCCCAGAAGTCTGGAATAGAAGCAGAAAATGAGCTGTTAGCTTGGGATTTTAAACCCAACGGTTGCACACTGCAATGGGTCTCAATGGGTACAAAATGAATGCATCTTCTGGGGACTCCAAAGACAGCGGATGATAAACTAACAAAGCCGCCTCCACATATAACCCAAACCACCATTAACTAAGATAAACCCTCATTATTTTGCAGAGTCAGTTTGGTGTAGGATTTAAAGGGCTGGTTTAGAAACTAGGAGACAATGAGTTCTAGTCCTGTTTTAGGCATGAAAGCTGGCTGGATGTCTTTGGACCAATCACCGGGAGATGGTGAGTTCTAGTCCAGCCTTGGCCATGAAAACCGGCTGGGTGACTTGGGGCTAATCACTAGGAGATGGTGAGTTCTAGTTCTGCCTTAGGCATGAAAGACGGTTGGTGATTTGGGGCCAAACACCAGGAGACTCTGAGTTCTACTCCTGCCTTAGGCAGTCTGACTGATTTTGGGCCAATCACCAGGAGACTCTGAGTTCTAGTCCCGCCTTAGGCATGGAAGCCAGATGAGTGATTTGGGACAGTCTCTCTTAGCCTAATCCACCTCAAAGGGTTGTTGTGGGGAAAAATAGGAGGAGGAAGGACTATTAGATTTGTTCGCCTCCTTGAGCTACTTATAAAATAGTAACGTCAGGATTTTAAAATATATAATTAACCATTGTAAAGACTCAGTAAACTTAATCCATGAGGAAAGAAAAAAAAACCAGGATATTTCTTTCCAACCGTGACAAATTGAAGACGAGTGGACTTCAGCTCCCACAAATCTTTGCACTGACTAACCCTGGCTGTGGCATTCTGGGAGTTGAAGTCCATATATCTGGAAATTGACAGGACGGGCGACTCCATCCTTGGATTCACCTAACCTAGTTAAGTGTATTGTGAACGTACAACAAATAGCTGCAAAAAGTATTTGAAACTGAGATGGGGGTCAGCCTAAAAGGACATTCCTTCATGATTCCTGTTTAAGTGGCCCTCGACTTATAACTACAATTGAGCTCCAAATTTCCGTTGCTAAGCAAGACGGCTGTCAAGTGAATTGTGCCCCATTTTACGACTCCTCCTTGCCGCAGTTGTTAAGGGAATCACTGCAGTTGTTAAATGAGTAACATGGTTGTAAAGTGAATCTGGCTTCCCCATTGAGAAAGAGTCTTTGTCAAAGACTCAGGACCCCGGAACCGTCATAAATATGAGTCTCCTGCCAAGCACCTGAATTTTGATCCTGTGATCAAGGGGGATGCTGCAGTGTTAAGTGTGAAAAATGGTCCTGAGCCCCTTTTTTCAGTGCTGTTGTAACTTCGAACCGTCACTAAAATGAACGGTTTTAAGTCGAGGACTACCTGCAATTTTAAAAGTAACTTTGTCACTTGTACCTGCTTAGAAGGTTGTTGTTTTTCTGGAAAAGTGACCTCAGACCTGAGGAGAAAATGCAGAGAGAGATTAGGAGACCCTATGGCCATTTTTATTTTATTTTATTATTTTATTGTCTTTATTATTTTATTTTATTATTATTTTATTATTTTATTATATTATTTTATTTTTTACTTTACTGTGCTCTATTCTATTCTATTCCTATTCTATTCCGAATTCTATTCCTATTTCATTCTATTCTTTTCTGTTCTTTTCTGTTCTGTTCTGTTCTGTTCCATTCCATTCCTATTCTCTTCTCTTCTCTTCTCTTCTCTTCTCTTCTCTTCTCTTCTCTTCTCTTCTATTCCTATTCCTATTCCTATTCCTATTCCTATTCCATTGCATTATATTCTATTCCTATGTCATTCTATTCTATTCTATTCTATTCTATTCTATTCTATTCTATTCTATTCTATTCTGTTCCTGTTCCTGTTCCTGTTCCTGTTCCTGTTCCGTTCCAATCCGTTCCATTCCCTTCCCTTCCCTTCCCTTCCCTTCCATTCCTTTCCATTCCATTCCATTCCATTCCATTCCATTCCATTCCATTCCATTCCATTCCATTCTATTCTATTCTATTCTATTCTATTCTATTCTATTCTATTCTATTCTATTCTATCCTTCATTCCATTATTCTATTCCATTCCATTCCATTCCATTCCATGCCATACCATGCCATTCCATTCCATTCCATTCCATTCCATTCCATTCTATTCTATTC